GGAGTCATCTGGCCTAACCTCTGACTTCTATAGCACTCCTGAAAGGAAGTCCTTTGGTGTCTAATTAAAAACTTCCAGAGATGGACAGGTCACTCCTCATAATTCATAAATAAAATCCCCTCAAAATTCTTAAAAGTAGGTTCTGTAGTTTTCCCCAGGATTGGACCATCAACCACACTCAGGTAAGTCATGCATACCCTTACAGGAAACGAATGAGTCTTGTAGGGAATTACTATCCACCACTCACTCTTAACTTTCTCACTCGAACCCACAGGTCCACATCCTCCAGGCCTGACCCCTCCGTCAAGAAAATAACTCCTTGTCACTGCTGGAAGCACACTCATGTAGCAATAGTTGAAGCTGGTCCTTACCTTGGGGCTGTGCCTCTGGACACTGAACTGGGGGTTGCCTGCGAAATGGTCACAATGTCTTCATCCCCTCCATCCTCATAAAAGCTTGCTAGGGCGATCTAAAACAGAGATGTAGTACCTCAGGATTCTTAAAACAGGTCTTCACCTAATACACACCTCCTTTGAGCACAGAGATGCGGCCCACATTTACAAGGTGGTCACAGAAAATTAGAACACAAGGTAACAGCTCAATTATTACTAGTCTTCATATCACCTGAAACAAAGTCCACCCACTTAGGGGGAAAGAAAGCAAGAGGGAGTGTGGGGATGGAAGACTCTTCTCATTCTCATTTTATCAGGCAATGTGATCCAGTTAAAGAAGGGTATGAAACAAAGTCCACCCACTTAGGGGAAAAGAAAGCAAGAGGGAGGGTTGGGATGGAAGGCTCTTCTCATTCTCATTTTATCAGGCAATGTGATCCAGTTAGAGAGGATATGCAACAAAGTCCTCCCACTTAGGGGAAAAGAAAGCAAGAGGGAGGGTTGGGATGGAAGACTCTTCTCATTCTCATTTTATCAGGCAATGTGACCCAGTTAAGGAAGGGTACATTTATTGAGTACTTATGTGCCAGGTTGTTCTGAGCACTCAAACATGTACTAATTCATTTAATTCTCACAGAACTCTATGTGATTAGTACTATTACCATCTCATTTTATAAACGATACAAAAGCACTGAGAAGTTAAATAAACTACCCAAGGTTACAGAGCTGGTAAAGAGTGGGGCCAGGATTTGATTCTAGACAGTCAGCTTAGGGTCCTCACTCTTATCTCTTGTTATTGCCAGGAGTCAGGAACTCTGGGTCAGTCCAGGTTGCTACTTTCACTTTCTCTCTGAGGTCCAGTTTCCTAATCTGTGAAATAGAGACCCCTGTCCCACTGACCCTGCATACTGGATGAGATGATCCACTAAGACTTATGCACAGCCATGTTTTAGCTCTATACATATAGAAGGAATATGGGAGTCCTTTGGTCATCTGTGATTGTATGTCTCTCTCACTGACTC